ATTGATGATAGATACAACCACTTAGAGAACAATACAGACTTGTTGCATAAATGAGCAGTTTGGTTAAAGGTCTTTAAGAACTGCTCTGAAAAACAAATGTGTAAGGAATGTTTTTCAAATTATTGTCAAAGGATTTCATGGCCAGAATCACTGGGTTGTTGTAGGTTTTTTTCAGGCTATTATGGCCATGTTCTAGAGGCATTCTCTCCTGACGTTTCGCCTGCATCTATGGTAAGCATCCTCAGAGGTTCTGAGGTTTTTCAAATTGTTAGGAAGGACCCACTTGAGTGGTGTATCAGGGTGGTATACTGGGATATTATGTAAAACATTTGAGGAAGGGGATACAGACCCTGAAACTGTTTTTTCTTCCCTCCAGAAACACAGTCAAGTTGAGTACCTTGTAGCAGATAATCCTCACTCACCATAGTGAATCTGTGTCTGGCAAAATGATAATTGTAGATTAATGGCTACCTACTTTAATGAATAAAAACATAAGATGAGCGCCATTGCATCAGTTCAAAGACCTGTTTAAGCCTAGTTAGTCTGTTCCAAAATCAACCAAACAGCTGCCTTTGGGAGACCCACAGCAGGATAGAAATACAGCGGAAATCTTCTGCATGGGTTTCCTAGCAACTGGAATTAGGAGAGATATTTCCTTTGATGTTAGAGCATTGTATAGCATCGTGACAGCAGCCAGTGATAGATATCGTCCATGAACTAGTCCAGATTGAAGGTGGACAGCCATCACCACATCTTGTATAAACAAAATCCATTAACCATGCAATATATGAAAAAGTACCCCCTATGTTATTTTACAAAGAAGTTAGAAATTGACTTCGAATCATACAGTTGGAAGAGACCTTGTGGACCATCCAGTCCAACCCCTTGCCAAGAAGCAGGAAAATTGCATTCAAAGCACCCCCAACAGATACCCATCCAGCCTCCGCTTAAAAGCCTCCAAAGAAGGAGCCTCCATCACACTCTGGGTCAGAGAGTTCCATTGCTGAACAGCTCTCACGTTTAGGAAGTTCTTCCTAATGTTCAGTTGGAATCTCCTTTCCTGTCGTTTGAAGCCATTGTTCCACGTCCTAGTCTCCAGGGCAGCCGCAGAAAACAAGCCTGCTCCCTCCTCCCTATGACTTCCTGCCATGTATTTATACATGGTCATCATGTCTCCTCTCAGCCTTCTCTTCTGCAGGCTAAACATGCCCAGCTCTTTAAGCCACTCCTCATAGGGATTGTTCTCCAGACCCTTGATCATTTTAGTTGCCCTTCTCTGGACATATTCCAGCTTGTCAACATCTCCCTTCAATTGCGGTAACCAGAAGTGGACACAGTGTGATTCTAGGTGTGGTCTAACCAAGTCAGAATAGAGGGGTTGCATGACTTCCCTGGATCTAGACACTAGACTCCTATTTATGCAGGCCAAAATCCAATTGGCTTTTTTAGCTACCTCATCACATTGTTGGCTCATGTTTAGCTTGTTCTCCATGGCTTTATCAGATACAGAGCTTCCAACACTAATGTGGGCATCATTCTTCCATTCCACAGTCACAGATGGCTTCAGCATGTCATTACATTCAGTCATCTTCAAGGTAATTTCCCATGCTTCAGCTCATGAATGCTGACACGTACAGGTGATTGTCAATAAAAATGTTGCATATTCACCTCTGCAAGGAAATCTGCATAATCATGCCAGCAGAGGCAGCTGGGAGTGTCCATATAAACAGGGCTGTGAATATACTTCAGGTTTTATTCTTAACTTTGAAGAAAATGTCCTAGATCAGGAGTTGGGCTCCTATGTGTTTTGGACTTCAACTCCCACAATTCCCAACAGCCTCAGGCCCTTTCCTTTTCCCCCTCAGCCACTTAAGCAGCTGAGGTGGTAAAGGAAGGGGCCTGAGGCTGTTAGGAATTGTGGGAGTTGAAGTCCAAAACACCTGGGGGCTGAAGTTTGCCCTAGATGCTGAGCCATCCCCCCCCCCCCAAATCCAGAATTTTGGATAGCTCCTTTAACATCTGGATTAAAGATTGGAGCAGATTCACTGTTCCACTGAAATGGAGCTACTAGTTGCTACAAGAGATTGGGTAAGGAAGTCTGGAAGGTAAGACTGTTGAGAAAAGAGGCCCAGATCTGCAAAATTTATGGTCAGAAAATTTGTGATCAGGTCACAGAACATTTGCTTGGACAATAAGATTTCACAGGAGTGATGCAAGACTAGCTTCTATTTTTCTGCAGTTTAAAAAGTTGAAGTGAAACTGAAGCTCTTCACTAGATCAATTTTTGCTTTTGATAAACACATAGTTTCCATAGTGGCTTATCACTGGTATGTGTTGTAGCTCAGCAGCCAAGGGCTGACGGGTTCACTGGTGGCTTATAGTCCGATAGGATTGTGGGCTTTCCTGGGATTCATTCTGATATAGGCCAAGAAAGTGAAACCGTTTCAGATAGGGATGCAGGCACAGATGCAGGGTCTGAGAATTGCCTCTGATCCTTAAGGCCAGTCACAGGAGTTGGATGGAGTCATCCTTTCTAGATATGGAGTCTAGCAAAGATGAATTGAAGAGAAACTCTCATGGGAAAGCACCTGTGGATACTGACCTAAGCAAGGAAGTACGCTTGCAGATTAGAGCAGATATCCAGTTCCATAGGCCAACACTGCTTCGTGGGGAGCAGAAATATCAGGGCAGATGTAATGCTTTCATGTCTGTCTATTAGGAGCTAATGGGCTCTCTGTCTTCAGTTCAGGCAACACGGCTTTCAAGTACAGCTAGGCCTGGGTTCTATGGTTCTTGTTTCAAATCGTGGTTTTGGATTCAATTTTTCTCTTGGGAGTTTTCCATTTTCTTGTTTTGTACTCTTGTTCAAGTTTTGTTTATGGACTTAAGCTACCTTTGCATTTTGGGAATTTTCTGGACTGTATTGCTTTTGGATTTATAAGAGATAATTGATTGCTGACTTTTTGTATTCTACACCTTATTTCCTCATCACTGGTTTTTTTTTACCATATATTTTTTTTGTGTGTTTTGAAATAAACTGTTTGCTTCTACTCTGGACTCTCGTGTGATGCTATGATCATAGGTGGCTTCAGGCCTGGGATGTGACAGTATGATTCAAAGAACCCGAAGAGATAATCAGAAATAGTCATGCAACTGACCTCATCTCTACAGGAAGAGTTTTTTTATCCCACATATGTTCCCAAGGAAAGATCCTACACAAGTACATTGTCTTAACAAGGATACTGAGAAGAGTGGAACATGAAACTACACATCTGCAAGAAATTTCTTGGAGTCTTAAGAAATGGGTGCTTTGTAGCCTGCTGGAAAAAACTGCATGTCTGATTTGCACTCTCAGTGCAGGAGTGCCATTTTCCATTTCTGGCAGGTGCTCTTTGATTGCTTCCACCCAAACAGTCCCTTTTTCTCCTGTAACCTATGGTTTTTCCAGAGCTCAGGAAAAAATACGTTTTCAGACATCAACTCCCAGCATGTCCCTGCCAATCATCGTCACTGGTGTGAGGATCTTTTACAAACAAGGAAAATTCGGTTTGTAAACTGACTGACTGGAGAGGAAAAATCAGAATATTTTCAAATTTCCCCTTTACTTCCTTCTGCTTCTCTTAATTCCTCAACACAATGCACAGCTGTTTTTTCTTTCATTTCTTCTTTTCATATGTTTCCTTTGCTTTGTCTTCTTAGGTTGACTAAAATAATAGAATACCATCAGCCAAACCAGGCTAGGTTGTGAAGGGGAATTATTTCATGGGAGGAAGAAAAAACTGGAGCAAACTCCCTTAGAAGAAAGAAACTCTCTGTTCAACCCAGCGGTTCGCCAGCTTTAGTCCTGCCAACGTTTCGGAGTTTAACTCCCAGAACTCCTGATATTGGCCAATCTGGCTGGGGCTTCTGGATTTGGTCTTAAAACTTGGAGGAAAAAAGTTTTGGAATTACTATTTCATTGTGTTGTCGAAAGCTTTCATGGCTGGAATCACTGGGTTGCTGTGAGTTTTCTGGGCTGTACTGCCATGTTCCAGAAGCATTCTCTCCTGACATTTCACCCACATCTATGGCAGGCATCCTTACAGGTTGTGAAGTCTGTTGGAAACGAGGCAAGTGAGGTTATTAAGGTGGCCAATTCCAACATTCGCACTTGCCTCAAACAGACAAGAGTTCTTTCTCTCACCCTGGACATTCCACAGATAGGAAATAAACCCCACTTGCCTAGTTTCCAACAGACCTCACAACCTCCGAAAATGCCTGCCATAGATGTGGACAAAATGTCAGAAGAGACTACTTCTGGAACATGGCCATACAACCCTGAAAACTAATAGCAATCTACTATTTCATCAATTTTCCAGACTGAGTTTGAAATGAGGTGGTTGTTGAATGGCCTCAGTCGCAAAGGGGGCAATAGTCAGTTGTCGGAGTGAGGGTAGTGGTGATATGGTACACAGACTAATGGTAACAATGCCAATTTCATTATTAGCTCCTCTCCTTAATCATATGCAATACACAAGCTGCCATTTACAGATTGGAAGGAGAAAGTCACTCAACAGTCACTCAACATTCTTGCTGGCTTTTTGAACGGGTAGCTATTAAACCCAGGTGAATTGATAGTAATATTCCAGTAAGAAATGGATACTGATAAAAGCCCCCTGGTGGCACAGCAGGTTAAACTGCTGAGCTGCTGAACTTGCTGACCGAAAGGTTGGCAGTTCGAATCCAGGGAGCGGGATGAGCTCCCACTGTTAGGCCCAGCTACCTAGCAGTTTGAAAACATGCAAATGTGAGTAGATCAATAGGTACTGCTCTAACAAGAAGGTAACAGCGCTCTATGCAGTCATGGCGGCCACATGACTTTGGAGGTGTCTACGGACAACGCCGGCTTTTTGGCTTAGAAATGGAGATGAGCACCATCTCCCAGAGTTGAACACGACTACACTTAATGGCAAGGGGAAACCTTTACCTTTACTGATAAAGTAGATTATATGCATACTCACTTGACCGATAACTGCATCACTGATGTCTCCACCGACATTGTCAAAGTACACATCCACTCCAGCTGGACAAAGTTCATGCAGCCGTTGTGCCACATTCTCTTTCTTATAGTTGATAGCAGCAGTGAACTTCATTTCTGAGACCAAAATGCTGCATTTCTCATCTGTGCCACAAATACCAACCACTTTGGAACAGCCCTCCAGGAAACCTATCTTTGGAATAATACAGCCATTTTACTTTTAGCTGCATGCAATAACTTACAATACAATCTTTTTTTAAAAAAAAATTAAAATCCGAACTACCCTTACTATACATCTAAAGCTAGGGGTCCTTAATCTCAGGTGCCAAACTTAAAAAAGAAAGTGTTTATAGCAAGTGATATGTCATATGTTTCCACTAAAGTAAAAACAGGCAACTGTAGGGCTTCAGATGTTGGACTCCAATCATCACTACCTCTCATCATTGTCTAGGTTGGTGAGGGCTAATGGGAATTGCAGTTCAACAACATATGAAGCGCCATGTACTACCCAAATGATCTGGGGCCCATCTACACTGCCAAATAAAATCCAGAGTATCTGCTTTGATTTGGATTATATTCATCTACTAATATAATCCAGTTCAAACTGGATTATATTAGTCTAGACTGCCACATAATCCAGTTCAAAGCAGATAATCTGGATTTTAAATGGCAATGTAGATAGGGCCTAAGTTTGGATAAGGTTATTCCCCTTCTCCTCAGACCCCAAGTTGAAAGGAAACCTGGTTTCTATTTTTGGTCCCATGATTACTGGATATTTAGAATACCAGAAAGGTACAGAATGGAGTCCAGTACAACCAGGTAGTCCAAATAACTGCTTTTCCAAGCCGTGGTGCAGAGCCAAGTCATGACTATGTCTCCCATCACCAAGATAAAAGGGAGAGGCAGGGATGCACAGAACAGACAAAGCTAGGGAAAAAGAATTAAGCATCACTTCAACTTTTGTTTCAGAGGAACAGCATGAGGTTAGGTGCAGGTTCAGTTGAGTGGCATAGTCCTGGTGACCATACCATTCAGATTAACCATTCACGATGCACTAGATCCATGTTATCTTGCTTATAACAATAATCTATTTTGATGAAATGTTTAAAAAGTTGAAGAGATAAGGCCAAACCTCAGGCATTTTACACTTCTCCGGTGCTAAGAAGGCCACTGTACACTACTCTGTCTTGCACCAAGCTGAAACCACACAGGAAGAGCTCCTCCCACAGCTGTTCCCCACCACTAATATCAAATCGGTTTGCCAAGAGTTGACAGTGACATGGGATAAAAATACTTCTGAAAAGCTCAGGAATTTCTCACATTATTTCAATGATACAGGAAGAAGTTGCAGAGTAGTGGTTCTATGTCTCTCGGGCAACATAGACTGAGATCCAGGGAGAACCAGCACCAGAAAGAGGAGTAAAAGGCCCTCAGCAGGCAGACTAGTCATTGTCTAGAGAAAAGGATGTTGGTTCCAAACAAGCTTTCCCCAGTGGTATTTTATTTATTTTTTATTTATTTATTTAAAACATTTATATTCTGCCGTTCTCACCCTGCAGGGGACTCAGGGCGGATTACAATGTACATATACATGGGAAACATTCAATGCCATAGACACACCACATATAGACAGACACACAGAGGCTATTTAACATTCCACCTTTTTCATGAGGGGATTCTGGCCACCAGGGGAGCTGTCGCTTCACTGATGAAGTACTTCCTCATTCTTTGCATGCTTGCTGGAGAAGTTTATGGTGTCGTAAATTTAGTTAAATTAGCCTCCCCGCATAAGCGCTACCTAAATTTCCTACTTGACAGATGCAACTGTCTTTCGAGTTACAAAGGTTGACAACAAGCTACACAAATTGTTCAAAAGCTCACTCCAACCCAGGCTGGCTTCAAACTCATGACTTTTGGTTCAGTAGTGATCTTAATGCAGCTGACTCCCAGCTAGCTGCGCCACAGTCCTGGTGCTATATATACAACAAACATTCAATGCCGGGACATTAAACCATAAATATATACAGACATTAAAATCACTTATTTTCATAGTTCTTGGAAGGCTGGCCCTTGAAACAAAAAACATTTTAGGGACCCTGGGTTGCAACATCGCCTGCTCCATGACACAGGCAATTTTACAAGCCAGGCTTTCCAAAACATCTTTTTATTTCTGAGGATACACATGCCAGAAACTGCCATTGGACAAAACAAGTTGCTTGGAGCTGGCAATTTTCTCCTTCCAGCAATGACCATGATAAACCAACCTTCCTTCCCTCCGATTCAAGTAAATGTGTACTGTCTTAGCACACATTTATTAGAATTCTAGCTAAAAAGAATTCTAGCCAATTACAATTATACCTTCACCTCATTGTAAAATAATAAAATTCTTAAGACATAAAGACTGGCCTTAAAAGCCAGCTTACCTGCCCAGCGATTGAGCCACAAGCCCCAGCAGCCCCACTGACCACCATGGTCTGATTAGCACCAGGGGACACGTGTCCTGCCTCTCTTATCCCAAGCAGAGATGTCAGCCCAGTCAAGCCTGCTGCACCCAGAAAATAGGAAAGGTGTCCATCTACAAGCTGTGGATCAATCTGAACAGAGACGTGTTGTTCAAAAAGCCACCAAGGTACACTTTCACCCTGGAAACACTTTCGCCTATTTAGTTTTAGATTTCTTTGTGGTATGACTGAAAAACTAACCCATTTCCTCTAAACCGCTTCTATTTCCACCCTCCCTGTAGCACTTTGGGTCCTGCGTGGGAGAAAAGCAAGATATAAACAAACAAACAAAAAATAGCCTTTTTTCATTCCCAGTGGTAAAGTTGTTTCAGTCTGAAAATTCTGCATGATGTATACTTTTTAATTGATCAGTATTTATTGTCAGTAACAGGAATGACCTCAAACATTTGTCTGAGTGAAAGAGAGCAGAAAAGAGTAGAACTTCTTTCAAGTCAAGTGGCACAAACCCAGTAAATGTCGGGTATAGCAACCTTCTCAAGCCTCCTCTATTTAATGTTTTGTCTGTTTATAAGATGTCAGTTTATTTCCTGAAGTGTATGTCTTATATGGTTTGCAGTTTTCTTAGCTCTATGTACTTGAGGCAGTGGGAGGGGCTGCAGACCATGTGACTGGTTCAGTGACTGCTTAGAATGCAGTTTAAGGAATGACATTGGGGCCAGAAGTCTGTTTGAGTACAGAAGCCAGTGTTAGAAGTCAGTTGAAGCTTTAAACGCTTAGAGTAACTTTTTTCACAATTTGCACACACAGAGTAGTACACAGAATTACTCAACTGGAATCAGGCTTCGTTACGTTTTGTCTACAACCATCCCCAAGTTTACCACCCTTCCACTAATTGCTAGAAAAGTTCAGAGGCTTGTTCAGAGGAGTATAGCAGAAAAAGCATGCAAACACATTAAAACCATGGCGGGGGAATCAGTGCTAGAGTACATACTCTCCATATAAAAAGTCCCAGATTATCTTTGGAGTCTTCAGACAGAGCAAGGACAGATTACTGTTTGAAACACTGGACAGTTACTGCAAAGTAGGGTGGGAGGAATCTGTAGCCCTCCATTATTTTAAATTGCAGTTCCCATAACAGCTCGTGATTGTCTAGGTCTGAAAACAGCTGTAGGCTGAAAACATCTGGAGCAGTGGTTCTCAACCTGTGGGTCACCAGGTGTTTCGGCCTACAACCCAGAAATTCTAGCCAGTTTACCAGCTGTTAGGATTTCTGGGAGTTGAAGGCAAAACATCTGGGGACCCACAAGTTGAGAACCACTGATCTGGAGGGTCAGATCTACTGACCCACAGTCCTTGGTAACAGACATACTAGCTGGGGATTCTAGAAATTATAGTTCAAAAAAATGTCCATGCCTGAAGTAAACAATATCAAGTTAGATGTACCACCAAACAGACTTGGTAGAAGACAACTTCCTATCTTACTACAAACAATATTATTCATCTCCAGTATAAAAACAGGACTTCCTTTCATACCTTTTCAAGCTGCTTTCCATCTAGAATGGCCTTCGTTTGCCAGGGCCAGTTGAAGGAAGTTACAAAGTCTCCCACAGCAAAATTCACGTCTTTACTTTCCTCCACAGACCCAATTCCTCCACCATCAGCAACTTCAGATAGCTTCCAGGACTGGAGGTACGCGGCACCAGATTCTTCGTTCATGCGACATCGCTGAAAGATCAAAATGTTAACATGAGGTAACCCAGACATGGGCAAACTTGGGCCCTCCAGGTGTTTTGGACTTCAGCTCCCACAATTCCTAGCAGCCTCAAGCCCTTTCCTTTCTCCCCTCAGTCGATTAAGTGACTGAAAGGAAAAAAGAAGGAGCCTGAGGCTGTTAGGAATGGTAGGAGTTGAGGTCCAAAACAGTTGGAGGGCCCAAGTTTGCCCATGCCTGAGATAACCCCTTAAAACACAACAATATCTGCTCAAAACAAAATATTTCATTTCATTTCCAGACATTTTTGTTACTCTCACAGTTCATTTCATTGCTTTGATTTTTCTGCATTAGCAATATAAAGGCTACATACTGTATGTACTTTCCAGGTTTCACATCATAGTACTCAAGAAAAACCTATACCAGTGGTCTGAAAACTCTGCCCCTCAAAACATTGTTAAGCTACAACTCCCATCTGCCCCAGTCACCATGGCCAAAGAAAAATCAGGGATTATGGTATATAATACAACACTATATAGAGGGAACAGGGAACCTCTAGAATAAAAAGTTCGTCCCTTAATAAATCATTTGTAAACTTAACATTGCTTTTGCTGTTTTGATAAGCTATCCTTTGCTGAGGCACTATTAACAGAGCAGAACACAGAATTCAATTGTCAGTAAAGTACAGGTAAAGATTTCCCCTTGACATGAAGTCTAGTTGTGTCCAACTATGGGGGGTGGTGCTCATCTCCATTTCTAAGCCAAAGAGCTGGCATTATCCATAGACACCTCCAAGGCCATGTAGTTGGCATGACTGCAAGGAGCGCCAATACCTTCCCATTGGAGCAGTACCTATTTATCTACTCACATTTGAATGTTTTCAATCTGCTAGGTTGGCAGAAGCTGGGGCTTACAGTGAGAGCTCATCCCGTTCCCTGGATTCAAACCACCAACCTTTCAATCAGCAAGTTCAGCAGCTCAGTGGTTTCACCCGCTGGGCTGCCGGGGGCTCCGATAGGCAATTATCTGATAGGCAATATATAATTTTGTATTTTGTTTGTGCATTGTCTTTACAAAATTTGTCATTCTGGACAATCTTAGGCCTCTCTTAATGAAACAGAAGTTAAAATGTGGTACAAAAGGCAGAAATAACATGGACCATTTGACAGTTCCTTCCAAAATGCATTCACTTTTTTCCCACAGGCCTCCACTTTACCCATGATATCCATATTGGTAGCTAGACATATAGATCTTTTTTTTTAATGGGAGGAGCTGGCAACAAAAGCTTTTGTCTCTGTTTTGCTATTCATGCAGGTTCAGTTAGGGACTTTGGACGTAGCTTCATTTTGCCAAGCTGCGGTACAATTGGTTGGAACTGAATCCCATTCGTTCCCAGTTAAAGTTTTATTGCATTGTTTATTGTAGATATGCTGCTATAAACTGACTAAAAGCCTGTGCTTCTCCAGCCTGCTTTGAAAATAGGAGTCAGAATGAAGAAACTGAAGAGAAAAACCTCCAAATACGTGCATAAATGTCATGCATATTCAGGGTAAGGAGTTCAGTTCTCAATTGATGAACCAGAGACAGCGTTAACCAAAATACCTGCATGTAAATACTCTACAAAAGCCCTAAGTCAATATCCAACATGAATATATATTATTCAAATCATATTTTAAAACCATGGTTGCGAATTGCTCTCCAAAGATTTTATTACTAGTGTGTCAAAACCTCTTACCATATAAGGATCCACAGACAAATAAAGTGTACGAACTCTGACTTGGCCTTCAGCAATATTATCTGGGAGGGTGGCCTCCTCCATATGGAAGTTGTCTGCAACTGGCACTCCATTGATGCCTAGAGTTAGCGAGAGGACAGGTTGAGCTGCAACAGTTTCTCTCTTAACCCCAAATTGCAGTAGCCAAACAAGAACATTGAGCTCTGATGACTCACAACACACTAATACTCAAATGAACTCCTGCAAAAGTAAAAGGTTGCTTCACTATCACCATTGTGGAAGTGATATGTCCTGCAGCCTACTCCACCTAACTTCCAACCAGCCCCTCCTTGTGTTTCATTTCCTTGTCCTTCTCTTCGCCCCAGTATGTTCCTTTGTCTCACTACCATTCCTGCCTAGCCTGTTGTTTGCCTTAATCACATGCTGATTTTTTTTCTTATTTAATCATCTACATGTGGAAATAATCTAAAATTAATTTCTGACAGATGGTCTTTCATCTATTTACAGTGAAATGGGACTGTGGGCCTACATTAAGGAGTATCTGTTAGACTAGGGGTCCATCTACAGTACAAAATTAATGCAGTTTGATACTACCTTAAGTACCATGGCTGAATGCTATGGAATCCCGGGATTCATAGATTCCATGAGGAAGAGAAGGCTAAAGAATTGTAAAAATACAGCTCCAGGCATTCCACAGCATTAGAGATCACAGTTACAAGTGGTATCAAAATGCATTAATTCTACAATGTAGATGCATCCGAGGATGTCTTTTATCCTTCTCACATAAAAAGGTTCCTTTCTGGTTGTAATCTTTATTTCTGAAGCCACTCCTAGATCCAGAAACAGCACATATCTCTGCCACTGCTAGCAATGTGGACAATAAGTCTGTACACCAAAAGATAACTTTCTACCTGTATACTGTAGAGATAAAAAAAAGATAGGGAGGGGACCTTATCACCACAATGTTTATTTCCAAGAATGCCTTTGGGTTATAAAGCACTAGAAGATGGAACAAAGTGACTATAGTCACCCAGAGGGAATTTCTGAACTCAGAACAAGGCCCTGTAGTGTTCGTGCATCATTAATGATGGGTCTTGCTGTTTCCCAGTATGTGGCTTATCATATTGGTGCCAAGCCTGGCAAACCCAACTTCACATGTTTACATTACAAAACTATTATTACATGAAAACGAGTCTTTTAAAACCCTCAAGATATCTACATGTAATATAACTTAGAATCTCACTAGGGCCCCAACTACACTGCCATATACAGGTAGTGCCTATGTTATGAAAAAGATCAATACTGTAGGTTTGTTCTTAAGTTTAATCTGTATGAAAGTCAGAAAATGTACATTTTTCGGTGTAACTCCAGCTACATATAAACATTTCTTAGCTTTGGACAGCATAGGAGAGGGTTAACATGCCTATGCTGTTAGTTTTGTTGTCTGTTCTCCTGTTCTGAATATTCCACATCACTTTCTGTCCCCATGAAAATTGGATTTTGAAAAAATTGGCTTCTTGTGGAAACAAGCATTGGTAAGAAAGTTTCAGTGGAGTCCTCTTTTCCCCATGATAACTCTTTCAGGAGTGAACTTCCCTTTCAAGGGGTAGATTTCTCTCACTTCCTGTTGTTCAACATTCATTTTTGACTATGAGTAGTTTGTAAGTTGGATGTTTATAACTCAGGGACTGTCTGAATAGTGCAATTTGAAACTGTATTATATGGTAAGTGCAGGCTCATATAATGCAGTTCAATGCAGTTAAACTGCAGTATATGAGTCTATACTGACCATATAACATAGTATACATTATGTATAATGTATTAGAGGCTAGCATAGAGTTGCGGTGAGTTTTCCAGGCTGTATGGCCATGTTCGAGAAACATTATCTCCCGACATTCTGCCCACATCTATGGCAGGCAACTTCAGAGGTTGTGAGGTCTGTTGGAAACTAGGCAAGTGAGGTTTATATATCTTTGGAATGTCTAGAGTGGGAGAAAGAAATCTTGTCTGCTTGAGGAAAGTGTGAATGTTGCAATAGGCCAGTTTGATTAGCACTGAATAGCCTTGAAGCTTCAAACCTGGCTGCTTCCTGCCTGGGGGAATCCTTTCTTGGGATGTGTTAGCATACTTATTTACTGTTATGTTCTGAAATTAGCTCCAAAAAAGGTAAGTCAATGTTAGAGATCTAGTTGCTTTACAAATTTGAGAGAACACAAAGAAATTAACAATACAAGGAAATATACAATCACCTTGTAGCACATAATTCTATGTTAATAACTAGTTCTTGCTACTAAGTCATTATCTCTAGTCATCACTATGACTCACAGATGTAGGTACAGATCATGCGACTTACAACATCAGCACCTACTTTCAACAGTTTCCTTCTGCTTACTAAGACATCACTTTTAGTAAGGTTACTTCTCGCACAGTTCTGCTCTCATACAACTTGGATAAATTCTCACCAACGAATCTGGCACGACAGCAGGGCCTGCTGTGTCTATCTTGCTAAAAACGTGCACCATGGCCTTCCTGCAAGCGCTTCTCATATTAACTGTGAACAACTCTATCCTGCTGCAGCAATCTGGCTCCTTTCTGTGCTTTCCATTACCATCTTCCATATTGTGCAAACATATCAAACTCATTACTGTTCTTGACAAGTAGAAACATACCAGGGCGTGAATTCAGCACCACTCTTTGTATAATCATCAGCCCTGCAGCTGAAATCCTGCACGGTAGGAAGTCAGTTTCCCTATAAAGCAAAAGGTTTTGAGCATGAGAGAAGATATAAGCTTTCTGTTTGTTAGCATAATCATAAAATCACTGGAGCTCAGTGCAAGAAGTCAAAACAAGAGAAATTAAGGCCCCAAAACTATTTTTAGTTCTTACTACATGGAATCAGTTGCTGGATGATAAATCACCACTTACGTACATTCCTTTGATTTAATAGATCTCTTCTAATTGGCACTAAAAATAGACCTGGAATGCATCTACACTGAAAAATTAATGTAGTTTGGCTCCACTTTAATTGTTTTGGACCAATGCTAAGGAGTCTTGGAAGACATAATTTGCTGAGGCACCAGTGCTTTTTGGAAGAGAGGGCTAAAGACTGTAAAACCACAACATTCATGATTCCATCACATTGAGCCATTGTAGTTAAAGTGATATAAAATGCATTAGTGTTACAGTGTAGATGCTCCCTTAGTTTAACTGCTGGACATTTACAAAATTCTCAGTGGCTTCAGGCTACATAAAAATACAAATAGCTGAACATCTTCCTATCCAAGCATTCTTTCATTTTCATTTCAAACTGTCTTTGAGCTTCAGATAGGATTTTTTTTCTACCACTAATATTTGCAAATATATTGCTGGGAAACAAGGCAGCAGGCACAGAAGTTAAAGAACAGATTGGAAAAGCACAGAGTGTAGAAGAAAGGGAGGTAAATAAAGTGCTAAAATATGTAAGAATTGTGTGAACAAAAGAGTCTTGTTAAAAATAACTCTAATAAGAACATTAGCTCAGTGTCATTAACTGTTGAGGTGATGGATGCAGGCCAGGGCTCAACTTTCCTTCCCTTTGAAAGCAGTTACTTGGCATAAACCAGCCTTCCCCAAGCTACCATCCTCCAGGTGACACAGACTACAACTCCTATTGCCCTGTGAGCTCAAAGTACCAGGGTGTAAGCTACAGCTTACACAATTTTTTTTGGTATAGAAGATTTGTTTTCTAATAGCAATGTCAGCAGTAAGACTAGGCTGTCCATAGACACCTCCTGGTCGAGTTTTGCCAACATGGCTAAATGGGAACGTTTTACCTTCCTGCCAAGGTGGTACCTATTGAAATACTCACACTGCATGTTTTCGAACAGCTAGGTTGGCAGAAGCTAGGGCTAAGTATGGGAGCTCACCCCAACCTGCAGCTTTGAACTGCCAATCTTCCAGTCAGCAAGTTTTCTGCAGCTAGCGGTGTAACCCAGTGTGCTACCGTGGCCCCATATTATTGCAGTGTGACATTGTGTCATAACTCAGCCAGCTGAAGATGAGGATGAGGGGTTTGGTGTAGTTCAGCCAGCTGAGGATGATGATGAGGGGTTTGGGAGTGCAGGGCCTGCAAGGTCTGATGCTCAGGCAGAGGGGATGTGAGTCCCCGGTTGGGAGAACGGAGTGGGATTTGGGTGACTCTCTGTGTGAAAATGAAATTGCTTTAGAAGCTGACAGGCAGGAAGGGAGGTTAGAGAGAGAATCAAGGCTGCTTCTGCAGGGGAAGAATTCCAGGTGCAAGCCAGGCTATGGGAAAGTGAGACCGAGAGGGACTACTCAAGGTGGAAGGAATGCTTTCATGCTTTGCTGTCTTTAATTAGGGAAAGAATAGCTTTTGGTTTTCAGATCAAGCAACGTAGCAGATAGAGCAAGGAACTCTTGCCTTGGTTCTCTCTTCAAGCCATGTCCTGGTCAAGTTTTGCTTTAAGTCTTGGGGATTTTACCATGAACTCAAGCTCATGTAATGTTCTTTGATTCTTGGATTACTCAAACTGATGTTTTATTCCTTGTCTTTTGGACTGTTCAAGATCATGATTTTACCCTGCTCCTTGGATTTATGTTCATGCTTTAATCTTTACATTGAAGATTTATCTCTGGCTTTTGAGACTCCTTTTATCTTACCTATTTGGATTTTTACTCTTTTACTGTGTGTGCTTTTTCAATAAACTGTTTATTCCTACGTTTGGCTTCCTGGTGAGTGCTTGAGCAAGGTGAACCCTAGCTGAGGTGCAACACATTGTTTTAACTGCCTTGAATCAATGCTATGAGATCCTGGAATTTGTAGTTTAGTGCTGCACTAGCACTTTTTGGTAAAAAAAAAAGGCTACAGACCTTGTAAAACTACAACTCACATGACAGCATTTAACTATCAACTCACATGATGGCATTTAACTATATTTAACTGTGGTGAACAGTGTAGGTGCATTCTGTTTGGACAAAAATATTAGCTTTGGTGCTGCATAGTGAAAACTAACAAATTTTAATTCATATATGCTTTCAGCAATGTGCAGTCTACCACATCAAACACAATTGTGTAACTGAATCTAGTCTTTTAAAAAGAAGCTTGAAACTTGAGCAGAGGTGACTGGAAAGCTGATCCATGGTACATTAGTATTACAAAGTGTCATGAAGCATTTGACCATGCAACCTTTGAAAGCAATATGTTGTTACATAAGGATTAGGCAGCACTCACCTTTGGATTATGCAAACTCTATTTTTGCATAGATACGATACTAAAATTAGAGCAACACAGCTTGGACATAGCATTACATTCATGTGCATGACAGTTCTAATAGTTTTCACTGGTTTTTCAAAATAAGTGTAACATTTAAATAGGCTGAGTTTCAGCCACCAACTCAATATATAAGAGCTGCATAGAGTACACATCAACATGAAATGCAGAAGTTATCTTGTTCTATGACAGAATGCCTTGAACATTTTAGTTTTATAACAACAACAACAACAACAACAACAACAACGGGTGCCATGCCAAAAGATCTCAGCCGGCATTTTGTGCCAATGAGCTGTCAGGGGCCAAAATTCTGGAAATGGCCTAGGCAAGTTCAGAGGGTTGGGCCGGGCTAGTGCAAAGAAAAAGACATGGGGACCAGGGGGAATGAGTAAAGTGCAATGACCAGGTCCCAGCAGTGGCCATAGTAAAGGCCTGGGGCTACTCATTTCCAGAGCCTATTTAGAGAACTGTAAAAAAGATGATTCATCACATCTCTAAAAACATTATGATGCAACTTGGGAGTAAGATGCGATACAGATGGACTAGCATTTGGATCATAGAATCTTAGAATCATAGAGTTGGAAGAGACCTCATGAGCCATCCAGTCCAACCCCCTGCCAAGAAGTTGGAAAATTGCAATAAAAGCACCCCAGACAGATGGTCATCCAGCCTCTGTTTAAAAGCGTCCAAAGAAAGAGCCTCCACCACACTCCGTTCAGCAGTTCCACTGCTGAACGGTTCTCACGGTTAGGAAGTTCTTCCTAATGTTCAGGTGGAATCTCCTTTCCTGTAGTTTGAAGCCATTGTTCTGCGTCCTAGTATCCAGGATAGCAGAAAACAAGCTTGCTCCCTCCTCCATATGACTTCCTGTCATGTATCTATACATGGCCATCATGTCTCTTCTCAGCCTTCTCTTCTTCAGGTTAAACATGCCCAGCTCTTTCAGCCACTTTTCATAGGGCTTGTTCTCCAGACCCTTGATCATTTAAGTCCCCTTGAAGAAGGACACATTCCAGCTTGTCAATATGTCTCTTCAATTGCGGTGCCCAGAATTGGACACAATATTCCAGGTGTGGTCTAATTAAGGGAGAATAGAGGGGTAGCATTACTTCCCTGGATCTAGACACTACACTCCTATTGGTGCAGGCCAAAATCCCATTGGCTTTTTTTGCTGCCGCATCACATTATTGGCTCATGTTTAACTTGTTGTCCACTCTAAGGCCTCCAAGATCTTTTTCACACAAACTGTTTTCGAGCCAGGCGTCCCCCATTCTGTATCTTTGCATTTCGTTTTTCCTGCCAAAGTGGAGTATCTTGCATTTGTCACTGTTGAACTTCATTTTGGGTTCGTCCATTTAACCAATTACTGATCCACCTCACCGTTGTTTTGCCTAGCCCACATTGGACTAGTTTCCTTGCCAGAAGGTCGTGGGGGAAGGCCTTGTCGAAGGCCTTACTGAAATCCAGGTACGCTACATCCATGACATTCCCCGTAACTACCCAGTTTGTAACTCTATCGAAAAAAAGAGATCAGATTAGTTGGGCATGACTTGTTTTTGATAAATCCGTGTTGACTATTAGCTAAGACAGCATTTGTTTCTAAGTGCTTGCAGACAACTTAACAATATTTTCCAGAATCTTGCCTGGTATCGATATGAGACTGACTGGACGGTAATTGTTTGGGTCATCCTTTTTTCCCTTCTTGAAGATTGGGACCACATTGACCCTCCTCCAATCTGAGAGTCTCAATAGGGCTTGAGTTGCAGACCAAGGAAAACTGGTAAATCATCAGAGCCTGCTTGAAGGTTTGTAACACTGAAGCCTGATGGGCATCAAGTACTGCTGTTGTTCTGTGCCACTCTTTCCAGTTATGATAACCTTAAGATAAACCTTTGTTTGGGACCAAGAGCCCATCTACATCTGATCATTCAATTAAGTTTAAAACTGTGCAGATGATAACATAGAAAATCCTGGAACCGAACAGTGATTACATTAGCCACAGGGCACTGATATACATTAAGGACTTTCTTTTGTGGACTTTTGTAGGAGTTTGTCATCTAGCCACCACAGTTTGAAGCTAGCCTGAAAGTGCAGAGGGATGATGCTGTCCAAAATTGATTAGAGCGGGCATGGGCAAACATCAGCCCTCCGGGTGTTTTGGACTGCAACTCCCACAATTCCTAACAGCGTCGGGACCCTTCCTTTTCCTGAAACTGGACTGAAAAGTTTTGTACGTGTGTATGCTGAACACATGAAGGTTGTGAGTAAATCTAAAATGTTATTTTTGTCCAAGTCTAGTTCATTTTTGTCTCTTGAGTGCATGAAATAAAAAAAAAAATTATTCGAGTGTATACATATACTTGGGAACTGAAAAACACTTCTGAAGCACTGCTGTTTTTTATGCACTGGCAAAATCTTTGTTTTCCTAACAGATCGGATAGAACAGGTTATTCAGTCTAACAACTGAAACCTTTGCGTTGCATAATTATTTCTGGTTGCATACCACAAGAGAAGATTATACTCTAAAGGGGTTTTGGCTCTTCTTTGAAAGGTCATGCTTTTCTAAAAAGTTATAATCTCCAAAAGGTTTTTTCCAAAAGATTATGAATGCCATTTCCCAAAAATTCCCACAATTTCCAACACCTGTAAAACCCAAGTTTGCCCATGCCTGATCCCCCAAGCAGTAAGAAGCCAGACCTTGAATCTGCAAGGCCATTAAATGTTAATCAAGGTGGCCAACTGAAACATTCACACCTGGCTCCAACAGACAAGAGTTCTTTCTCCCACCCTGGACATTCCACTTAGACTGCCATAATTGAGTGCTATGGAATCATGGCAGATGTCGTTTGACAAGGTCTTTAGCCTTCTTTGCCAAGGAACTTTGGTCCCTCGCCAAACTATAACTCCTAGGTTGCTAACTGAATAGTTAAAGTGGTATCAAACTGCATTAACGCCACAGTGTCGATGCACGTGATGAAAGTGTTCCCCTTGCTGCGTCCATCGTAACAAGAAAAAACTTTCCTTGTTGACTTTCCACCTATTACTCACTTCAATGCATTCCTTGCCACCCGCAGCTGTTGTTAAAGAGGCAGGAGCCCCACTTTGGGGAAGGAGAGGTGGGGTTAGCAGTTTGCACGCTTCAGTTACAACTTTGCAAGGTTTAGACGCACAATTACCTCGGTACTACTCACTGCGGCGTTTCTTTGGCCGTTAAGGAATCCCGGAGAAGGAACCCTTCTCAGGAGGACCCCACAATTCAATATGCCTCCCCCATCCTGCCTCTTAAAAGGGTAATACAAACATCCACTTAAAAGGGCAACGGGGGGGATGGATTCCTGCCCTGTGTCCTGGGAATGGAGAGCTGTTGCGTTTAGAAGAAGCTTCCTCTCAAGTAAAAAGGGAGGATTGGTATAAATCGGATTGGTGAGCGTGTTAACTGAAAAATGCAAGGCAATAAGCTGATTGGTTGGGCCAAGGGTCCACTGGATGTGCCTTCAAGGCGATCCCATTAATTTTATAGGGTTTGCTTAAAACTGCACATGACAAAAATTGCCAAATCTGGATGTGCGGTAGCACAGCGGGTTAAACTGCTGAGTTGCAGAACTTGCTGACCAGAAGGTCGGCAGTTCGAATCTGCTGGGCGAGGTGAGCTTCTGCTGTTAGCCCAGCTTCTGCCAACCTAGCAAATGTGAGTAGATCAATAGGTACCGCCTCAGCAGGAAGGTAAATGGTATTCCATGCAGTCATGCCGGCCACATGACCTTGGAGGTGTCGACGGACAACGCAGGCTCTTCGGCTTAGAAATGGAAATAAGCCCCCCCCCCCCCAAGCTGGAGATGAAAAGGGAAGCCTTCGCCTTTATCTGTGTATCAGTGTTTCGCTGTTTCTAGGCATTGAATGCTTGCCTTTGTGACTGTGTATGCTGGAATCCGCCCTGACTCCCCAGGAGATAGGGCAGTATACAAATAAATTATTATTATTATTATTATTATTATTATTATTATCTTCATCATCTTGTGGTCTTGGTGACACAGCGGGTTAGACCACAGTGCTGCTGAACTTTCTGACCGAAAGGTTGGTGGTTCGAATCCAGGGAGCAGGGTGAGCACTTGCTGTTAGGCCCAGCTTCTGCTCACTCTACTTGGCTTGCAAGAGCAGACAGGATCTGGTGCCTTTGGGTTTTTTAAGCATCTTTTCAGCTGTGGAACACATCTCACCATGCTTAAACAGTGGATTTGGCTCTTAATGAGACATGCCACATTATCACAGGATGTCTATGCCCTACACCACTGGAGAAATTATACTGTTTAGCTGGTATTGCACCACCTGAGATCCACCTGGAAGTAGCAGCCATAATGAAAGGACCAAGGCAGTGACATCTCTGGCCCATCCCCTGTTTGGATATCAGCCAGCATGCTAACACCTTAAATCAAGAAATAGCTTTCTAAGCTCTACAGAAATATTTGCAGGAACACCTCAGCAAGTGAGAGTCCAAAAGTGGCAGGCTAAAACCCAGAACCTCAAGCCATGGCTGATACCGAATAAGAGACTCCCTCCTAGGTGTGCCTCTGGTGTTGCTATATAAAGTTCTTCCATTGTGCATATGGCAGGGCTTCAGACTGCATTGTAATAGGTGATCTGTGGTTTGCTCTTCTCCACACTCACATATTGTCGACTCCACTTTGTAGCCCCATTTATTAAGATTGGTCTGCATCTCATGGTGCCAGAGCACAGTCTGTTCAGCGCCTTCGAAGTCGCCCAGTCTTCATTGAAACAAACTGTAGCGGAAGAGAAGGGAAATCTAAATATTCATTTCTGAGCCTATCATGGAGTTTTCTTGGCAAGATTTGCCATTGCCTTAGTGAATGTGACATATTGAAGGTCACCAGTGGATTAGAGTCCTCAGTGGTGCAACAGGTTGAACCCCTGTGCCAGCAGGACTGAAGGCCGACAGGGGAGAGGTCAGATGAGCTCCCTCTTTCAGCTCCAGCTCCTCATATGGAGACATGAGAGAAGCCTCCCAAAGGATGGTAAAGCATCAAAACATCCGGGCATTTATTTATTTATTTACTTACTGTATTTGTATACTGCCTTTCTCAGCCAATCGGCGACTCAAGGCAGTTTCCAACAAATCAGTATACATAAAAACATAATACCAATTAAAACAATAAACAGTATAAAACATCACAACAGCAATAAAAACAACATCTTTAGCATCTTGTAACCCAGGGAACATCTTTAGCGTTCCCTGGGTAACGTCCTTGCAGACGGCCAGTTCTCTCACACCAGAAGTGGCTTCTCAAGTCGCTCCTAACAAAAAAAAAAACATACCTGTGGATTGCCATGCCGAAGCATGGATTTGAACCCTGTTCTCCTACCTCATCGCCCAACACTCTAGTTCTCTGTTTACATTAATCCGTATGTTAAACGATCATAGTCACAATATGTGTCTTAAAATAGTACACATACTCAGTCAATGTATCACCGCTAATATCTGACTTGTCCTTATCCACTCTTCCATTAATCAGAGTCAATGACGCTCATCCATTAATCAAAGTCGAAGATACTTCATTCCATTCTATCTGGGGCACATTGTTGCCATCACTGACCCAAGAAACATTTCACAATTGTTTTGGCCCAGCATGTTTTAGGGCTCCCATACAACACCGTTGTACATATGAAGTGTAGATCCCACCATGACGTGTCTTTGAAATGGGATGGGTGACATCATTACGCCAAATGGACAGTTGCGCAGGTAACAGGCCTCAGATGGGTGGAGTGCAGTGCTGACCTTTAAGCAGCACAGTTTCATACAGATCCGTTATTTTACACTTGTAAAACTTGCTGACTGATATGTTGGCAGTTCGAATCCGGGGAGCAGGGTGAGCTCCCACTGTTAGCCCCAGCTTCTGCCAACTTAGCAGTTGGAAAACATGCAAATTTGAGTAGATCAATAGGTGGGAAGGTAACAACACTCCATGCAGTCATGCTGGCCACATAACCTAGGAGGTGTCTACAGACAACGCCAGCTCTTCAGCTTAGAAATTGAGATGAGCACCAACCCCCAGAGTCGGACACAACTACACTTAATGTTAAGGAGAAACCTTTACATGACTGAAGGAGCTCATCTGTGCTCTCCCCGGATTCGAACCTCCAACCTGTGGTCTTCAGTCCTGCTGGCACAAGAGTTTAACCCATTGTGCCACAGGATCTGGTGCCATTAGGATATTGTATTCTCAGCATTACCTATGCCTGTCTGAAACAAGTTTAAACAGCTAAAATGTTTTAAATCTGCATTGTGCTTTCATTCCCCATCTGCTGCAGAAAGGTACAATTTCCTCATTTAGCTGTAAGGTTACATGAGGTAACACTATAGCATAATAAGCCACTTTTCCTTGTGTTTGCTCGGTTGCTTCTACAACAGAATATTTTGTGTTTTCAAAGGAACCATCCCAAAACTTATCTTGTTTATTTGGAAAATGAAAGATATTATCTGTGGGAGAGGTACTTGTAGAATGAACATCATTACTGTTCATATGGCAGAATCATAGCCTGGCAAATACACAAACCCTGCAAATCATAGCAACAGAATGGAGAGCATGGCAACAACAGCTGCTGCAGCACTGAGAAAAGGAAAAAAAACACACTAAAATATGAGTTTAGAGGAGAAGAATTGGAAAGGAAGGGAGCCACACAATCATCCATGTCACGAAATAATTTGTGGTAAGTAACAGAGTACTCCATTTACCACTTAATGTTACAAATATAAATGTTACAGTAGGGATAACAGTGTTGTGGTTATGGGTGCATCGTCACTGTAGAACTCATGCAGTTCGATACCACTTTAACTGCCATGGCTCTATGCTATGTACTCCTGGAATTTGGAGTTTGGCAGAGCAGAGAAGGCTAAAGACCTTGTAAAACTGCATTTCCCATTATTCCATAACATTAAGCCATGGCAGTGAAAAGGGTCTCAAACTGCATTACTTCTGCAGTGTAGATGCATCCTATGTTCTCTACAGTTCTTCATACAGATGAAGTTTCTGACTTCACATTAGTACTAATATTTATCATGTTCTCTCTCACTTCTGAGCAGACAATTTTAAGGTTTGTACTCTACTGTTCACCAATGCATCACAATGCAGGGTTGTGTTATTGCCCCAACCTTACTTTCCATCTTAATCACTATGATACTTCATCTTGTTGATGGGAAGCTTCCCACCAGAGTGGAAATTATCTATCAGATAGATGACAGGCTATTTAACATCAGTAGACTGAAATTCACAACCAAGGTTACAACAACATCTGTTATAGAACTCAAATATGCTGATGACAATGTTGTCTGTACGCATTCAGAAGAAGACCTACAAGCCACTCTAAACACCTTTGCAGAAGCATACGAGAATCTCAGCCTGTCATTGAACATCGTGAAAACCAAAGTGCTCTTCCAGCAGTCACCAGCCAATCCCTTTCCAATGCCAGGAATACAATATTGTAACATTAGAAAATGTTGAGCATTTCCGCTACCTTATTTATTTATTTATTTATTTACCTTACTTATATACCGCTGTTCTCAGCCTGAAGGCGACTCACAGCGGTTCACAACAAATACGAACAGCAAAAATTCAGTGCTACAGTATAGAAACAGTTAACAACCTAACACATTACACAATTAATAAACAGTTACTACAATACCCATTCACTGTCGTCTCGTCATCAAAAACATGTTCCAGATTCGTCATCCATTGTTCCATTCCAGTGTTCATTAACCAATCATTGCACTAATTATTCGAACGCCTGCTCAAACAGCCAGGTCTTCACTTTTTTGCGGAATACCATTAGAGATGGTGCTAGTCTAATGTCCGTAGGAAGGGCGTTCCACAGCTGAGGAGCCACCACCGAGAAGGCCCTATCTCTCGTCCCCGCCAGCCGAGCTTGAGAAGCAGGCGGGATCGAGAGCAGGGTCTCCCCGGAAGATCTCAAAGTCCTGGTGGGTTCATAGGCAGAGATGCGGTCGGATAGGTAGCTTGGGCCGGAACCGTTTAGGGCTTTAAAGGCCAACTGCCAGCACTTTGAATTCAGCCCGGTAGCAGATTGGTAGCCAGTGGAGTACCTTGGCAGCCACCTCTCCATAAAAGTCAACATTGACACTGAAATACAACACATCCTGAGATACTGTATTTTCTGGCATATAAGATGACTGGGAGTATAAGACGATCCTCAACTTTTCCAGTTAAACTATAGAGTTTGGAATATAGGACCGAGTTGTGGCACAGCTGGTTGGGAG